GATTATTGTTGGAAAATCAGGTTGTGGAAAAACAACATTATTATTAAACTTGCTATTAAGACCTGGTTGGTTAGACTATAATAATTTACAAGTTTTTGGAAAATCTCTTTTTCAACCTGAATACAAAATATTAAAAAATTCTTTTGAAAATAAATTACCAAAAGAAGTTATTCTTAAACTATTTGAGTTGCAAGATCAAATAAATAAAAACAATGTAAATCCAGAGTTTGTTATTAAAGACATTTCAAGAAATTTAAAAGATAAAACAGATATAGAGTGTAAATTTTTTGAAACAGCAGATGATGTACCAGAACCTGAAAATCTTAACTCTATTAAAAATAATTTAATGATATTCGATGATTTACAATTAACAAAACAAAACAAGTGTGAAAAGTACTATATAAGAGGAAGACATAGCAATGTAGATTGTTTCTACTTGGCACAAAATTATTTTGAGTTGCCTAGGAGAACGATAAGAGAAAATGCAAATTTTATTTGCTTGTTTAAACAAGATTCTAAAAATGTAAATCATATTTATAATGACCATGTTTCAAATGATATGAAATTAGATGAGTTTAAAAAGTTTTGTAATGAAGCTTGGTCAAAAAAGCATGGATTTGTTGTTATAGATTTGTCTTCTGATCTATTAAATGGAAAGTATAGAAGTGGATTAGATTTATTTTATTATCCAACTTCTTTGTGGAATCGATAAATATATATTTTTAAAAAATATATATTTTTATGAAGCATTGGTTCTTTCAGAACTTAGCGAAGCCTGGATCACGAAGTGATCTAAAGAAGAAGACCTAATAAGGGTATATTCTTAAATGGAGAATTTTCTCCTAATAACAATCCTTTACCTACTGATGAATAATCATTTCCATTTTTAGAATAATATCCATCTAAATAATTATAACTACCATTCCATGGGTTTAAAAATACTCCTTTTCCTACTTTTCTAATTTTAAATCCATAACCATTCTTTTTTCCATAAATAATACCATTTCCAGCAATTTTATTAACTATAGTACTTCCAGCAGCTGCAGCTGTTCCAGTCAATAATCCTGTTGCTATAGCCGGAACAACTTTTGATGCAATTACACTTCCAATTAATCCAAGTAGAGGTAGAAATCCACCATTTTTTTTAGCATTATGTTTAAGTTGTGCTCTACTCAGTGAAAGCGTTATACCCTTATTTTTTAAATAGGCTGCTTTCATTCTGTTTCTTTGTGACTCTGTTAAAGCTATTTTGTGTTCACCATTTAAATCTTCATATGATAGTTTTATACTAGCATTAGTATCAGATTCAATTGCTTTTTTAATTTTTTCTTTCTGAGTATCTGAAAGATTGATAAGAGTATCATAGTATATTGTCATTTTTTATATATAAAATATTTTTTTTAAATCGCTTTCTGTAATGCTTTATACTCATCATCATCTATTTGCCCCTGTCGTAACAACTCATCACAAATAGCAACAATCTCATTTCTTGTTCCAGTATTTCCTGCTTGTAAACCAGCTAAGCGTAATTTAAGCATATCAAATAGTGCATTTGGATCACTAGGAAGAATGACAACTCCTTTTCCAGACTTTCCAATCATCTCTTCCCAAATAGGTTTTATTACATTAGTGTACTTATAACTTCTAGATGATTTTGGTTTAGCTAAATTTAAATTAGAACGAATTGCATCTGTTTGATCTAAAATTTCTTTATACTTATTACGATCATCGTTAGTATATCTAACAGGATGGGATTTTACTATAATCTCCCAAAGACCTGGTGTGCCAATGTATTTTTTACGTTCAATAGTTATATCATTACCTTCAATAGTTATTGGTTTTTTACCAATGTAAAATTTTTTATCACTTTCATTGTAATGTATACCAAATATATCGTCTGATACTTTTTTACTATTTTTAGTAGTATATAACTTTAAATATTCTGTTGCTATAGCTCCTAAGCTCATGTTATCTACAACTTCAGGTGGTATAATTTTTCCTTGCTCTGTGATTGCTTTAGTTTCAGAATCTAGTAAAGCAGGATAATTTGAAAAAGTATTTGCTATTTGATTAGCTTTATTTTCTAATTTAGATATACCTTCTTTTATTCCAGATTGACTATCTATTATTGGTTTGTACATTTTTTCCAAGTTAGTCTGTAAAGCATCATAGCCTAACTTTTCATTAATAGAATCTTGATATACACTTTTCTTTATACCCTCAAGTTCTTTTGCTATTTTTAATCTTGCATCAATATCTGTAGCTTTTGCATACATTTTTATATAAGCAATAATTTTTTTAAATCACAATGTGATCCCTAGATCCCTAAAGGGATTAAAATCAACATATATTATGTTTTTAATACATAATATATGTTCAAGTAATACATAATATATGTTCAAGTAATACATAATATATGTTCAAGTAATACATAATATATGTTTATTTAATTCTTAAGAGTATTATTCATCACTCCTATATTCTGATTTTTGTTAAATCTCATATTTAGCAATTCCATAGCTTCTTTCATTGCTTTCTCTTTACCTTGATTAATTAATGACTCTTTAGTCTGTTCATCTATATTATTTTTAGATTTTGTTCTAATTTGTTCAGTCATAGCTTGAAACTTTTCAAGTTCTGAAAGTATCATATTAAATTCTGCATCATCAATATATTGATCTGATATAGCTTTAGAAATAAGACTACTTATTGTATTTAGTTTTGCATCAGCTAGTACTTTAATCTTTTCATGCTTTTCTGCTTTTATTGCTAATTTTTTAATAGCTTGTGATCCTATTAATGATAATACACCCATACCTAATGCTGCACCTTCACATGCGATAGCTACTGGTGTTCCAACTATTGTTGTTAAAAAACCAATACCAACAGCTCCAAGTGTCATAGTAGTTGCAAGTAATGAATTATCGATTGCTGAAATTATTCTTACAGCTCTGTGATATTTTTTACTTAGCATAGCTCTTCTATTTCTTTCACATTCCATTTTATTTTGAATTTCACTTATCTTATCTAATCGATATCTCTGATCTATAGATTGTGGTGGTGCAGATGGATTTTCTGAAAACTGGTTAAGATCTGGATAAAGCTGCTTACATTCATTATTATATCCATTATTACATAGCATTTCTTTTTTCTATAAAGAAAAATTTGTTTTAAATCACTTTTGTTATCAATGCTTCGCTAAATCACTTTTTACCAAAATCAAATAGAGCATTGTCAGGTTTATCTTCATCATATATAGTTTCTTTAATTACTTCTCCTATACTTGATAATAAAGATTTTACAGATTCTTTATCACTTTTCTGTTTAGTTCCTGAGTCATTTTGTGGTCTAACTTGTTCTTCTTTAACAGGTTCTAAAGCATCTCTATGTGATATATAATTTGCATTTAAAACACCATTATAAGTTGATATACAACATAACAAATCTCCTTTTTTAATGTTTATATCTTTTTTATCGTAATTATATAAAGTTATTTTAATATCATCAGTAGACTCTATTACAACAGAATTTAGTAAATTTAGTGATGGTTTATAATTTTCTGCAAGTGAAATCATTACATGTCCTTTATCTATTTCAACTCCACACATTAAAGAAATGTTTTCATATGAATTTGATTTTACTGTAAAATCTTCTTGTGCGAATACTTTAATATGTCTATCATTTATTGCTCTATGTTCTAAATCTGAATTAATATTAAAAGTTATTCTATATTGTTCATGCTTTTCATAATATAAAAACATTCTACTATTATACATTTTATAAATGTAAAGATTTTTTTTAAATCACTCTGTAATCCTCATATCTATTTTGTTTTTAAAGTTCTAGCAATATAATTTAAAATGCTTTCACCTTGATGTAAAAAATTACACTTTTTATTATCATTTACATTTTTATATATTAATATTTTTTCTCCTTTTTTATTTTTCTTTAATTTACTCTCTACTAATTTACATGGAGTATAATGACAAATTTCTACATTTTCTTCAATTTCTTTAAAAGAATGAGCATATTTGCAATTTATATTTTTACATTCTTTTTTATCAAGAATATATTTGCATAATTTAGTTTTAGCTTTTATTAATTTTAATAATTCTGACTTTTTAGGATGAAATAATACACACTCTTTATTCCTACATTTAGGATAATCATAGCAAATATGAATATGCCTATATTGACATGAAGATTTAGTGCATATTAGTCTTTCCTTTACAGTACTACAATAAGGAATATCATGATTGTATTTACATTTTCTTCCAAAAGGGCAGAAATTATCATTTAAAATATTTTTACAGAAAATGGGTAGTTTCTCTACAAAATGAATTGTTGAAGGTTTTCCGTCTTCAGTAAAATTAATATCTACATTAAATGGTTTTTCAAAACTAAATTTTCTTTTTTTATAATGTTTTTTAAAAGAAGTATTATCTATAGCAGGATAATCATCATTAATAACATTATAAGTTGGAATATAATTAATCCATTTCAGCTTATCTTTATGCAGTTCCATGATTTGAACTGTTTTTAAAGGAATTGGAACTATAGGTTTTTCTTTAACTTCATCTTCATCATCAGATGTAAAATAAGTAGCTTCATCAGATGTATAATAAGTGTCATCTTCAGAATCTGATTCTTCAAATTCAAATTTTAATAATTCTTCAAAAAGTTTAAATTCTTTTTGAAATTCAGATATTTCATTAATCTCATCATCATTCATTTTTATTTTTATTATTTGTAAAAATATTTTAAATCAAAAAATTAAAAATGAGTTAAATAATTTTCTTTTATATATAAAAAGAATGGAAAACAAAATGCAAAATTCATTTTTAAAATCAATAGAACAAAGATTAAGATTAATAGCAGAAAAATTAAATATTATTGATATTCATGATATTGAAATGACTGAAGATTCTGAAGTTACTACAGTTACTACTACTGAAGTTACTGAAATTACAGAAACTACTGAATATAGTGATGATATTGAAATGACTGAAGAAGATGATGGAGATGAAGAAGATGAAAATAGTCACATTAAAATATTAAAATATTTACATGAATTAGGTTATAAAGATATAGAAGATATAGAAGATATAGAAGATGCAATAGATGATGCAATAGATAAAGCTGTTGAAAAAGGTCAACTTGAAATATTAAAATATTTACATGAATTAGGATATAAAGGTACAGAAGATGCAATAAATGATGATGGATGGAAAATTAATTGTGCTGCAAAAAAAGGAAACCTTGAAATATTAAAATACTTGCATGAATTAGGGTATAAAGGAAATGAAATGACAATTAATTACGCTGCAGAAAATGGTCACCTTGAAGTAGTAAAATACTTGCATGAATTAGGGTATAAAGGAAATGAAATGACAATTTATTCTGCTGTTGAAAGTGGAAATATTGAAATTATTAAATATTTACATTCGTTAAGATATAAAGGTAAAGGTGATGAATGTGCATTTAATTGTGCAGTAAGTAACCAGATAAGCTCAGCATCAGATAGTAACCTTGAAATTATTAAATATTTACATGAATTAGGGTATAAAGGTTCAGAATTGTTTAATAATTTAGCTGTTAAAAATGGATATATTTAAATTTTGATACATGTAGTTACTATAAATTCTAGTAGTGATAAAGTTAAGCAATGCTACTACTACGCATAAGCGCTACTATGCTTAAGTAAATCCCAACGCATGCGCGTTAAAACAAGAAAAATGATTTAAATAATTTTCTTGTGTATATAAAAAAGAATGGAATTAGAAAAAAAAAAAAATAAAAATAATGTTATTAAAATATTAAAAGCAATTAATCGCGCTATAGAAAATGGTAACCTTGAACGAGTAAAATATTTGCATAAATTAAAGTATTATTATGAAGAATTAGCAATTAATTATGCTACTGAAAATTATGACTTTGAATTAGAGCAACAATTATATAAATTTAAGTATAAATATGAAAAATGTGCAATTAGTTCTGCTGCTATAAACGGTCACTTTGAAGTAGTAAAATATTTACTTGAAATAGGATATAAAGGTGATAAATTAGCAATTAGTTATGCTGCTATAAATAACCACTTTGAAATATTAAAATATTTACATGAATTAGAGTATGAATGTTACGATTGGACAATTGATTGTGTTGCTAAAAATGGTCATCTTGAAATATTAAAATATTTACATGAATTAGGATATAAAGGTACAGAAGATGCAATAGATAAAGCTGCTAGAAATGGTCACATTGAAGTAGTAAAATATTTACATGAATTAGGATATAAAGGAACAAAAGATGCAATAGATAAAGCTGCAGAAAATGGTCACCTTGAAATATTAAAATATTTATATGAATTAGGGTATAAATGTGACAAAGGGGCATTTTATTCTGCAGCAGAAAATGGTCACCTTGAAATATTAAAAT